TGTACTCATTACATGTTTTAACTATGTATTGTGCATCTTAGCTTATCATTACTTTATTATATATCTTGGATCATAGGTCACAGACTAGACTAGTTTGAATAAGCTAGTTCTGTGATCCCAGCAGAAACAAAAATATATACTATATTACTCTCATTGTAATTTCTACTATTATTAATTTTAGTATTTATTTATTTATTTATAATTTACTACTCAATGTATACACTGTTTCTGATGAGATAAATTTCATTCATTCATTTCATTCAACACGCGGGTATAGGTAGTCTATGTAGTGTATGTTTTAGCTCCGGCCATCACAATGCCCATACGACTGTAATGACACGCGAGTAGTATCAGGCTACTGTACTGAGGCAACCTACTGTCATAACACGCGAGTATCTGTAGTATACCATTGTATGTTTTAGTCCCCCCCCCCGAGAGGTATCAGGTTACTCTACTGAGACCATCTACTGACATAACACGCGAGTATCTGTATTATACCATTGTATGTTACATCTACCCTGCGCCCACAATGCCCATACGACTGTAATGACAGGCGAGTAGTACCAGGTTATTCTACTGAGGCAACCTACTGTCATAACACGCGAGTGTCTGTAGTATACCATTGTATGTTTTAGTACCCCTCCCATAATATCCATAAGACTGTAAAGACAGGCGAGTAGTATCAGTCTACACTAGTGAGGCAACCTACTGTCATAACACGCGACTATCTGTAGTATATCATTGTATGTGTTAGCGCCCCCATAATATCCATAAGACTGTAAAGACAGGCGAGTAGTATCAGTCTACACTAGTGAGGCAACCTACTGTCATAACACGGGAGTATCTGTAGTATACCATTGTATGTTTTAGCTCTACCCCCATAATACCCATAAGACTGTAATGACAGGCGAGTAGTATCAGTCTACACTACTGGGAAAACATACTGTCATAACACGCGAGTATCTGTAGTATACCATTGTATGTTTTAGCTCTACCCCCATAATACCCATAAGACTGCAATGACAGGCGAGTAGTATGAGTCTACACTACTGAGGAAACCTACTGTCTTAACACGCGAGTATCTGTAGTATACCATTGTATGTTTTACTTCTCCCCACCCCCACAATACCCGTAAGACTGTAATGACAGGCAAGTAGTATCAGTCTACTTTACTGAGGCAACCTACTGTCATAACACCAGAGTATCAGTCGTATACATACAAGGTTATATTTATAACGTATGGCATATGCATTTCAAATACTTTTCAATTTTTCTTTTGACACTGTCCTGTTACATAATAGAACACAATACAATCATCATGTACTTACTATAACATAGATACACAAAGTGTAATCGGTGTCTGCAATTTTCACTATCAACAAATGCTTCATCCGACAACTATATCATAACATAAACATATATGATAGCATATGTCTAATCTAACAATATATTTATTATTTCTATTGCTTAAGAGACTTAATGCTTAAGAAGAGTACATATCGTCAAGGCTGGACTTGTGATGCTGGAGCTGTAGGTCATTTATTGCGTTCCTGACAAACTAGATATATCAATGGATAGTGTAGAATTGGATATTTATGAAATGCTTTACTCGGGTGACATAATTACGTTTTGCGATTACTAGTAACACATTCCTTCTCATAATCTAGCCAAAAGTCCAGCATTGTATGTGATGTAACATTGTGAACTGCAATATATATCTTGAAAAGACAACGTGACTCTAACACGTGATTGCGAATGCTAATTCTCTTTTCTGGGTAGACAGTAACATTTAGATTAGAAATGATTACGCCGATGAATGCTTCTTCTGAAGAGATGTACCCTGTTGGTTGCGTTATATTCATAACATTTTCTTGCAACATCTTGCGAAAGAATGTAAAGAGCTCCAGAAGCGTAACTGGGATAATAGTCTTTTGAATATGCTTCAAATGAAGTATACCAGCGATGTCGTGAACGACAAATGACATGAGATCCGTTTTGCATGTGACCAAGATAAAGACCTGTTTTTGACAAAGACTTTACTATAGAATATATTGTTTCCATCATATTGACCATCATATTGTTTATTTTCACGATTCAGCATTTCCTGGAACTCTGCAGTCTCGTTTGTTCTAATAAGAAATATTACTCGAGCAGAACAACGATTTAGAAGATCATTGTTTGCCCATGTCTGCCTTACGGCTGGACGCTGTTCAAAATTTAGCACTGACGATTCAACACCTACAAGAAACGATATACTCTGTATAGATGATATACTGTTACATTTCTTGCTGGGCGTTATCAGAAAATCAAAGTCATCAGGCAAGTGATCATAGTTTGTTTCAATTCTGCAAAGGTTGTTCAGTATCTTTTTCTTACTGACTTCTTCCGGTGTTCTGGTTGATTTAACATATGTTTGTATATCGTTGCGCGACACTGGAGCTGTGGCACCTTCATTAGATGGATCAAAATTGGAAATACGCCAAGTAATGACATTGCTTAATGCATACACATATACATTGAAAAATATATATCCACATATTGTGGCAAATAACAAAAAGGTGAAACCAGGCTTCCATCTTCTTAGCATAATGTTAAATCGGAAATGTGATGCTTGTAATATAAACGTAGTAAGGTACCTTTAGGGTGCAAGTCGAACGGCACATGTATGTCACCACATGCCTATATGAAATGTGGAATAATGTGGCCTTTGTGTTGTGTTGTAACTATATTTTATGATGCAATATGTTACCTGGCAGTAATGCTGACAAATAGGCTCAGTAAAATGAAATAACATAAAATACTGATAAAATGTAAAAACAGCTTGGAATTGAATCGTAATAATTCGGTAATCATCCCCATATTCAGTAATAGCGTGTATTATTGGCATCGCACAGTTCAATGATCTCTATATAAACCTTTGTATTCATTCAACCGAGAAGCAAAATAATTTTACACATAGTAAAATCTAAAGATCGGATTGCAAGCCCCTGTAAAACATGCCCTTTATCGGAGTTGTTATGGAGTATGACAATACAAATAGTAAATATTATGGAGGGATGTCGAACTGAACTACCAATGAGGTTGCATTTATATTCACTTGCTATCAAAGTAACATTGGTTGATTTTTGAACTCAAATATTATTTATTGGACGTTAATACGATACAATTTATAAGTACTGGTCATAACATATACATCATAGAAATTATATCTCAACATAGTTGATTATTACAAAAAGAGTGATTCATTTTATAGTACTGAAAATTGAGATTGACGGTGTGTCAAAACAGTTATCAAGAACAAAACAAAACCAAAGTACTCATCATTAAATAGGCAATTCAGAAAGATATATGGACTTCATAGTATGAATGTAACACATCATAGTTATAAATGGTCGTAGTTGCAACTAGGCATAATGAATGCGCTTCAAAAGTTGTGAATATTTGATGATAGTAAAATTCTTATTGTCATATAGTGCAATAGAAAGCTGTTTTTTAAAGTCAAATTAAAAGTATGAATCGTTAATCTCAAGTTCAAATACATATCATTACAATATACCTACTAAATATATGACTTTGGATACGAAGTACATACATCAATACATCGGTATGTGAAATTGAAGAATTTGACTTCTTTGTAAAACAAGTTTTTAAATAATTAAATGTTTGTTTAATTAGCAATAAGTCATATTCGTATATATATCCTTATATATTCGTATATATCCTTCTTGACAAAACTGTGGAGATTATTCTATATATATGTTATGTATATGTAGTGACTATAACCTTTTTCACTTTTTAAAATGTCTGATAATATTCTCAATGAATTCTATTAATTTATCATGTCGTATAGTGGAATGCAGTTAAAATCAGGGGTGCTAATTGAAGTCACAAGAAAAATCGAGTGCGATTTCATTATTTTTTTCAAAAGTTCAGTGGTATTTTGGAATACCCATGTTATCGTAGATAAAGTAGATGTTAATAGTTTAAGAAAACCCTTGGTTGAACATTTATATGATTCAACAATAATTATAGTTTTGTATATTATTTTTATGTGTACGAGTTTCACATAATATCTATTCTAAAGATTAGACAGACAGTCTAGTGCATCAGCAGAGTTGAATACAGATGTAACCCACAAGTTTGTGAACCTGACATGATACTTAATTTTCAACAGCCTTCCTATCGTTTGGATCATTGTTTGTTATTTTTTATGAGTGACTGCAGTTATATTGAAGTTCTCTGAACTTGGGTCCAGATGATAGGGTGTTTCGAAGAGTACAATGTGGAGAAATATCAAGATCCCAAGTTATAACTGAACTAGCAAGGACATAATTGGAAAAAGAGGTAGTGCAGTGAAACGTTAAACACTAAATAATGTTGATGAATTCATCTTGGTCACCAATCAAGATAACATAACAAGATAATAATGTCCTTCTGATAACATAGTGTTTGTCACACCCGTCTGTCAGTCACATGTAAGTTCATTGACCCAGTCCTCAGACTTTAATATACCACATTGGCATGTGCAGCACATTCCATTAATATCTGACAAATGAAAATGGAATATTCCAATTGAGCAACTATTGTATACAAATCACTAAAACTCTGACAATATTACTGATATTCTTTAATTGAAAATGCAAAATGTTCACACATTCAATTACTTTAACACAAATCTGTGTGTTAAAGGCATTTGTTCAGTTTAAATAATTTAACTACAACCATTCAAGTCATTAAATCTGCTCATTGCGTGCAATTTACAACAGAAGTGTATACCGTTATATTCGTTTAAGTCATTTTGATATTAAGACATCATAATTACGTTTTGCCATTACTGGTAACACATTCCTTCTCATAACCTGGCCAAAAGTCCAGCATTGTACGTGATGTGACATTGTGAACTGCAAAATATACTTTGAAGAGACAACGTGACTCTAACACATCATTGTAAATGCTAATTCTCTTTTCTGGGTAGACAGTAACATTTAGATTAGACATGACTACGCCAATGAATGCATCTTCTGAAGAGATGTATCCTGTTGGGTGTGACGACATATATTCATAACATTTTCTTGCAACATCTTTGAAAGAATGTAAAGAGCTCCAGAAGCGTATCTGGGATAATAGTCTTTTGGATATGCTTCAAATGAAGTATACCAGCGATGTCGTGAACGACGAATGACATGAGACCTGTTTTGCATGTGACCAAGATAAAGACCTGTTTTTGGCAAAGACTTTACTATGGTATATATTTTCTTCAAATTCACGATAACGTCATCGTCAGTTTTGATGACGTAGTCAACGGATTTACAGAAACACTGCGACCATCTAAAAAACATAATTGTTTTCAGCGTTAAGTTTCTATAGTGCTCTATGAAACTTCCTTGGACGAGATCATCATATTGTTTATTTTCACGATTCAGCATTTCCTGGAACTCTGCAGTCTCGTTTGTTCCAATAAGAAATATTACTCGAGAAGAAAAACGATTTAGAAGATCCTTGTTTGCCCATGTCTGCCTTACGGCTGCACGCTGTTCAAAATTTAGCACTGACGATTCAACACCTACAAGAAACGATATACTCTGTGTAGATGATATACTGTTACATTTCTTGCTGGGCGTTATCAGAAAATCAAAGTCATCAGGCAAGTGATCATAGTTTGTTTCAATTCTGCAAAGGTTGTTCAGTATCTTTTTCTTACTGACTTCTTCCGGTGTTCTGGTTGATTTAACATCTGTTTGTATATCCTTGCGCGACACTGGAGCTGTGGCACCTTCATTAGTTGGATCAAAATTGGAAATACGCCAAGTAATGACATTGCTTAATGCATACACATATACATTGAAAGATATATATCCACATATTGAGGCAAATAACAAACAGGTGAAACCAGGTTTCCATCTTCTTGGCATAATGTTAAATCGGAAATGTGATGCTTGTAATATAAACGTAGTAAGGTACCCGTTAATTTGCAAGTCAAACGGCACATGCATGTCACCACATGTCTATATGAAATGTTATGAAACAATCTGTTACCTGGCAGTAATACTGACAAATAAGCTTAGCAGAATGAAAAAAACATAAATTACTAATAAAATGTAAAACAGCTTGGAATTGAATAATAATAATAATTGGGCAATCATCCCCATATTCAGTAATAGGGTGTATCAATGGCATCGCACAGTTCAATAAACTCTATATAAAGATCTGACAGGCAGTTGTGACTGCAGTTGTATTAAAGTTTTCTGAACTTGGGTCCACGTGATAGGTGGAGAAATATTGCGATCCCAAGTTATAACAGGACTAGCAAGGGCATAATTGAAAAGAGGTAGTGGAGTCACAAGTTTATGAGAAACTAACTACATTAAATAACACTAAATAAT